TTTTTTTTTTTTTTTTTTTTTAAATTTCCTTCATGCTATGTTGTTCCTGAGCAGATTGTCTGATTGCCCACAGGATGGCCGCGCTGCTGGTGCTGGTGCTGGGCTGGCCCCTGTTGGCGCTGGCGGCCGCGCTGCCGCACTCGCCGCAGGAGGTGCTGCCGCTGGACCGCCTGGGCGAGCGGGAGCCCACCTGCGACCAGCTGCGCGCCATGTGGCTCTTCTCCAAGCGGCAGTCGCGCGCCGCGCAGATCACCAACGAGATACCCACCTACCGGGACGCGTTCGCCTACACGTGGGAGTCGGCCATGGGTGGCCGCGGCGGCCAGGGGCAGTCAGGTGAGCATGTCGAACGTGTGTTTGCAGGCAAAGTTTAAGATGAAATTATGAAATTCCTTTAGAACACCTCACAATATGGTTTCGGAAAAGAATAACGGGATATTCGACGAGCGTCAATTTGCACGAATTGTACCTGGTGTACCAGAGCAAACGCCCCCGGTGTTTCGGGTTTGCCTCACCCTCCTCACCATCCGCCGCAACACTACTTGGGTGCTTGCCCCGACACACCTTATGGTACACATGATCCGGACGACTTGTTCCAGGCACGCCGGACTACGCCCACGTGCGCTTCCGCAACGGCGCGCGCGCCGCCTACCCGGGCCCCGTGTACGGCCGCATCGTGGAGAACACCCCGCCGCGCTGGAGGAACAGCCCCGCCGGACGCATCCGCAACTTCGAGGACAACAGCCCGACGGGCCTCGCCTCGGGCCGCCTCTACAGCGGCCAGCCGCACCGGACCGCCAGGATCTCGGGCGGGGGGCTGCCGCCGCAGCAGACGGGGAGCTTCCAGCACCTCAAGGTAACGCGCTCGACGGACAGGGCGAGAAGCTTAAACTTGTGCGTTGACGTGTCGGTAACGTGGGGTACTTCACGCAACAAGATATTAGAAAGATATTAGGATTATCTCAAAAAATCAGAAAAAATCAGGAAAAATAAATGGTGTACGCTTGAATTTGTTGTGGAGGCCGCCTCAGTCGGTAAACCTCAACCTTGCTCTGTCCGCAGGAGATGATCCGCCAGGAGCGCCTCCGGGAGGTGCAGGAGCAGCGCCTGGCCGAGGAGGCGGCGGCGGCCCGCCAGCTCAAGGACAACTCCAAGCCGCACTTCGGCCGCGTGCTCAACGGCCCAGCCTCCTCTCTCGACCTGGTCATGGCGTCCGCCAACAACAACAAGCGCAGCGCGGCCGTCGAGGCCGAGACAGAAGCAGAGGACGTTCTCTCGCCCGACCAGGTAGAGGCCTCTGACGGAGAGGACCTGTCCGGCGCGTCCGAGCTCCACGAGGACAGCCGTTAGTAAATGAGTCTGTCCCACAGGTGGAGGACAAGCCCTGGTGACGGTAGCGGGGCTCGCAGGGGACTCGAGGACTTCCACCATCGCGGCCCTGGCCGTGGCAGAGGCCCTGGCAGAGGCCCTGGCAGAGGCCTTCCGTCGTGAGCGTGGGCGCTGCCCCCGGCAGGTCAGCTAGCCAAAAACCCGCCTCCTACGCACCATCACCCCCGCGCACCAAGCCGCACCAGCTCCACCACCGCACCGCCCTCCAGCACGGACCCCTGCACGGCGCGCGGGGCCCGCACCGCCCGCACTGGGGCAGCCCAGCCCCCGGGCCCCCGCGCGTCCTCGCGGCCCGTTCGGCCCGCAACGAGCACCACCGCACTATTGCACGCCCCTTCCCAGCACTCCTCACCGCCGCTCCCCGCGCCCCGACGGGCCCCCCAGCCACCCGAGGGGCACCCCCGCGCCGCAGCAGCGCGCCGCCGCTCGCGCACCGCCACTACTCGCCGCGACCCGCACCGCCCAGGGTGGCCGCCGCCTCGGCCGCCGCCGGGGCAGCCTCATGCTTCCGCCACTGTGACGCCCTCGAGGTCTTGGAGGCCGCGGGGGGGCGAGCCCCCTCCCTGCCCCCTCTGAGCCCCGTGCGGGGGTCGGGCCGCTGGTCGGGCCCCCTCGCCCCCCTCCGAGTGCCCCGCCACCGTTTCGTGTAAACATATCCAATGATATCATGTAACGACATATCTGGCCCGCTCGCGCGCGTTTGTGCACGTTGGTCGTCGCTCTGAGGTCGAGCCTGTACATTGACTTTGTTAAGCGGGAGATTAAGTCCTTGTAATTTGGTAAATAATAGGTATACGGAATCGAGTAGAATGTTGCCACAGCGCAGATATTTCTCAATTCACCGAAGTTTGTTGAGAATAATCATTTTGAACTGTGTCAATCAGTGAATACAAACACATTTCTTTTTATAGTGCCGCTATGTTTGGCGAGGCAGTGACAGATTCTCTGTCAAGAAGCCGACATAATAATGCGGTCACTAATACTTTGATGGGAAAATTTAACGGCGTTCAGTTTGCTTAGCTATGAGATGACAAACGATACTTTGCTCATTTGAATGTTCATTTTCGTGGATTTTGAAGCTTGTCTTGAGGCGTCCGCACACGCCTTTGTTTTAAAAAGACAGCAAAACATGAATACCTTTATTCCACGTTCCACCAGATTTGTGAGGCAACTCCTCGCGCGATGAATACGAATTGTGTACGGGTGCACGCTGTCCAGTGTTTCACAGCTCGCATGTTTTTCTTTGCACATGGCACTCAAATTTTTGACCTGCACAACTTCACTGCACTTTTCTAATTTTTTAAGCACTGCATGTCTTGGAAAACTTTCCATGTTTTTATATTTTGTATAACAAAAGTTCACGAGAAAATTTTACAGCAGTCTTCCGGCAATATACGAAGAACGAATTATTCTCAGCAATCTCTTTAAGCGTTTAAGTTTAGTAGGGGCTTTGCTGTTAGGCATCCCGGTACCGTGTGTCAGGGCTAAGACACAGCAGTGTGTGGCTTTGCCTACCCGCTCTACCCGTAAGGGGCGACGGCTCCTGGAGTAGGCCAGCCCGCAACACTGCTGTGTCGTCGCCCCTGACACGGTACAAAACGCTGACGCTTTTCCGCCCCGAGGTGAATTTAACTCTTCGTCAATTACGAACCCTCTGGACTTTGAGAAGACACTGACAATAACTAAAGTTTTATTGGACTGGTTTCCTTGTGATAGTGGGGATTAGTAGGATTACGTATTTACTCTTCGGGCTGAATTAAGAGACAATAAACTAAATTGTTTCAAGCAAATTATCTCATGCCATGGCAAAATCGATTTTGAGAAATATCTTCTAACGCTCTACCTTATTTTCGGTTAACCTCCTCAGATATGTAAGTTATTCTTAACAAGTGCGATGCGTGTCACATATTAGAGGTTGGTAACAGCGTTGGAACTAGAGAGCTAGGAAACTCTTCGTATAAATTATATTATAATATTCAAACTTGTATCTGCGTCTGAGAAGCGGTTCTCGTAGGTTCTCTGAGGACGAGTCTTGCCTCACACCGTTTACTTATAGCGAGCACCTTGCGCCATAGACTTTTAGTAATCCTAAATGCTGCTGAGAGACGGGGGACTCAGTGAGAAACGGCGTGGACGCGACGTCTAAACGACATGAAAACGACGTTAAAATGGGCGAATTGACGTCGCAACGATATCGTTGCCTTAAACAATTTCTCGCGCGGGAATGACCATGACGAGTCGCGTGGCGGTGAGCCAGCCCAATGAGAAATGACGGCCAAACATCGAAACGATGTAAAAATAGTCGAATTGACGTCACAACGGTATCGTTTCGGCATTAATTTGTCACGGGACAGTAGGTTGATATGAAGGTTGTGGAGAGCAGGACAGGCAAGCGTAATGGAGACGAAAGGTTTCAACATTAACTAGCGGGGTCAGAGCTGGTCAGAACTAATACTTTTTAGTCGATTCTCTGCCTTCTGCGTTCTCGTCGCTCAATGTAAGAAATGGTTAACAATAATGTTAAATAATGTAGGGCCTGCGCTATAAACGCTTTCGGTGTTTATGAAGACTTAACTAAATCTTACCCCTAGTATTTAAGCTTCAAAATCTCTATTTTTAATCTATGTTTGACCCTAGCTCGTACCCCTTTTCTGTATTTTTTTTCTTGTGTGGCTAGGAAATGTGGAACGGCTAAACAGCTGAAGTCTGGAAATTTTTTTAGCCACGCGGGCTTGCGCCGCTTCTATATACAAACTTCGCATATCTTGCAATGCAAAATGTCTTCCACAATTTCCGTTAGTTACCTTATTGTATCAGAATGAATCATTATTCAATTCGTTATTCCAGTTCATATCAGTGAATAGTTTCGCATTAAAATTCGTTCAGGCTGTTACAGGTTGTCATAGGCCTATGTACCTCGCACATATCCATTTGTATCTTTTTTTTCGGAATTCTCAGCATATCAAAGTTATCTGAAATTTAAATACACCATTTATTTACGTTTTCCTGAAGGCAAGGTCTATTTTTTTTCTCTTCTATCTACTTAGTTGGAGGGGAAATAGAGAACAAAAGTCCATTAAGATTGCGTTAGCTTGTACATAGTCCGTTCAACGTGACCGACGATTTAATACCACAAGCGCATCGATGTGTGTGTGTGTGTTCAGTAGTAGATTTGAGCTGGATATTGAGGATACGAAAACTCTACAGCCTTTATAAATCTCCGAGTTAAAACATTTGTACCTTTGTTAACTTTAATATAGTTTCCCCCATCAGATTTGAGTATAACTTATAGATTATAAACAGAATTCAGCACTAAGTAATTCCCATTTTTATTTCACTTTATGCGGGAATTCATGCCAAATCGTAATTGTGCAAATGCTAGTCACTATTCATATCGATGGCAGTGAACTTTCTAAAAGATGATTTGTTTGGAAAAGCAGCTCAAAAAATTTCTCACAGTTTCAAGTTGTTGCAGTCGAAAATAAGTGGCGCGAACCAATGCAAAGTGTTACTGCCCTTTACGAAAATGCCTCATAGGCTTTTCGACCATCGTTGGTAGTTCTTCCTTTCCCCCACCATCACATGGGAGAGGCAGCGACCGGAGGAACAGCAGCTGTAAAGCGATCGCAAATACCATTTGACTATTTTTTATCGATGCTTTCACCCGTGGACGAATGTTTTTGGGGGGTTTATATTGGAATATTTCGTATTCTACTCTCCATATCCTTGAAATATGATTATCTGTTATTAGTGTCGACAATCTGTGGGTCAGGCTCAGGTATAATGACTATCATGGGTCACCCTCATCAAAAAGAGTGAATATATTCAACCAAATTGATGCTTCTAGTTGTTTTAGCGCGTTAAAGTTAACATAACGAAAGGAATAGACTACGCCCCTTGTTGATTTCTATGTGACAATAAATAGATTACCTCCAATAAATGTGTGATTGTGTTTAACCCTCATAATCCACCACGACAACAACCGCACTTTCGAGAAAAATGAAGATGTTCCCACACTGAACATATCACAGGGGGGAGGGGGGGCGCTCACGACAGAACTGGATACGCACGGGTAGACCAGCCCGCCGAGCTGCTGTGTCAGTACGGTTGCCCGTCGTAGAAGTACTTACAAA